ATACAGCCCACTCACCACAATCGGACCCTTGCTGTTTTTGACCTGTGCCTTGCCGGTCTCACAAACGATTTCTGTTGCTGGATGATATTCTGATGGGATCACTGCACATTGTACATTGGCAACGATCACTGCGCCAGATACGTCCTGATATCGGCGTCCGAGGTTTGTTCCGACGATTCGTAACTGGAATCAGTTTACAATAGATGATTAATAATATGACTATAAACTAGACCAAATGTAGTACCTTAGTTTTTCCTCCAACTGGTCCTTTTCTCGGGCTAAAATCTTCAATGGTGGGATTCGAACAAAGCTGGGTACTGTTTAACCAGTCCTGTGGTGACTTCGCTGAACATGCCATCGGTCGAACACATCGAGAATCCGTCACGCACCAGCCACATTCGTATTTCGTCGTGTCCAACGTCAGACATGCTCCACAGTTCGATGCCAATGCTTCGCATTTGTATACCTACAAAAGGCACGTTTGGGGCGGAAAACGAACCTGAGAGCTTCGAGGTACTATAGCATTTTCGCCTAAGACAACCATAATGAAAATGCGAACGTTCAATAACTCCATGTCACATCCTTTATGATAATCCTATCCTGATTCGTGTAATTCAAAAGCTAATACGTGGGACTTATTTCACCACGAACCCCTATACTCAACTGCTTCATAGATAGCAGCCGCAACGCGACCGCACGCAACACTGATGTCCCGATCACGATCACCGGACTCAGGAGACTCTATGACTGATTCCTTACCTCCACTGCCACTCCGCCGACGTTATCCAATGTGTGCCTTTTCGTCGAACCACCAGACGACCATACAACATTGAATTCAACCGGTGACGTTCCACCTGATAGGCCAATACCATAGTGATCAAATTGCATTTCATCGCATCTGGAACGGATTTTCATCAGGGATTGGAAAAAAATGGCTGAGCAGAAAAGATAAAAAAAAAATCAGGCGCAACCAGCAACCACAACTTACATGATATTATCATCAAATGTCTTCACCGCCGACTTCTCATGTTCAATGTTTCCTACACGAAACTGACATCGGAAATCTGTCATGAATATCGGGTCAAGGTTTTGCATCTGAAAATAGTCTGTTTAACTCTGATGTATGAGAACCACATAAAGGTATAGACACACCTTCACCGAGATGTTCCGTCTCTCACCAGCAGCCACATAAAGCTTTGTCTGGGGTGCCACGATGTGAGGGCACTTTTGCGGACCTTTTCGGCGTGAATGACCTTCCCGCTAGAATGATTATATTCAACTACAAAAATTAGGATTACATTAATAGCAATAACTCGAATCTAGCTGTAGGGTACGGCATTTGAAAAGGCTGTCGAAGCAAACAATGAGCGCTTCACTGCCTTTTGTTACTTCCCTACTCTTGGATTACTTAACGTCATATCGCTATTCGAAGGTGGAAGCGTCGAAAAGCCATCGTACCCAATCTGTATTAAAACCGACCCCTCTCAACAAACCTTTCCACATGAAATGGTTCATCTGCCCGGAACTCCTTTCTGGCTTAAAAGAAGCAGTCAGCACCTCGTCGATTTAATGACACGTCTCCAGCTCAGGTAATAGGCAGAAGGTGATGCTACACTACATCAGCAATACTTATCAAGAAACGAGCTGAGGAGAGCCCTAAGCCCCTCTCATATACCTCCCCGAAAAGCCAGTTAGAAGCATTAACCATTCATCCTTCCTACTTGACATTTACTCAATTACTGGAAGAGTTTTTCGAATTGCAGNACACGTCTCCAGCTCAGGTAATAGGCAGAAGGTGATGCTACACTACATCAGTAATACTTATCAAGAAACGAGCTGAGGAGAGCCCTAAGCCCCTCTCATGTACCTCCCCCGAAAAGCCAGTTAGAAGCCTTAACCCTTCATCCTTCCTACTTGACATTTACTCAATTACTGGAAGAGTTTTTCGAATTGCAGCTGTCCACCATTAGGTACAAACGATATGGAAAAATATTCAGCCATCACTAGACTAAGCTTAAGATAAAGCGCCCTGAGCTACTCTAGAATCATGACTTTTCCATTGAGTAACTTAGTAGTAAAGCAGAACAACGAAGGTGGAGGTAAAAGACTACTGTGACTGATGGCGAAACCAGTGGTCAGGAGCAATTTATCACTTACAAACATTTTCAGAACCAGAAGCACAATATCTCCCACTCTCTCACTCTCTTACCCGGTTTTCGAGTAAGTATTGTTGTATGTAGGAACTTCCCTTACTTTCAAGAAAAACTTACATTCAATCCGTTCACGATATGCTGCTTCCGACATTTATCTTCCGTTAGTTTTCCAGCCACACATTCATTCGATTCCAAGCACCTGGAATTTTGGAGTGAGACGATTTGCATTTACAAAAAAAGTTGAAAAAACACAGAAAGCCTTGAGACAGACGAAGCCACTTGAAACCTACCAGTCACAGGGAAACTCGCTTTTGGCACACGTTGAACAGGTCGTATACCTATTACAATCGTAGAACGAAAAATTCGTGGAAGCTATCGGAGTGATGCGACCTAAAAAGAAGGCTACTCCACTGTGCTGTAACTTCACTTNAAAGCCTTGAGACAGACGAAGCCACTTGAAACCTACCAGTCACAGGGAAACTCGCTTTTGGCACACGTTGAACAGGTCGTATACCTATTACAATCGTAGAACGAAAAGTTTGTGGAAGCTATCGGAGTGATGCGACCTAAAGAAAAAGGCCAGTCTCTTCACCGTGCTGTAACTTTCTTTTTAATGTTTTCCGAATTGTTTCTTGGATAAAGCATTGAATAAAACGAGCGGTAAAAAAAGCTTTTATAAAAAAGAGAGATCCAAACCAGAACAATTACTGACGCTCTATGGAGCTAATCTTTTCTCGGACGAAAAAAAAACTTAAGTACCCACCTTCGGCAACGATGCTTAAGATAGCCCGATGGTGTGACTCGTTCGGAGGAATCATTGGCAAACGGTTTATTGGTGGAGTGGCACATCGCAACGTTCTGAAAAGGATCTCAAGTAAACAAAAAGACTACTCCACGTTGTCCTTTTCCTTTATAAGCCATGAATCTCATTTCCTTCTAAATTCGGTGCAGCATTGTAAGTGTAACTTCCGATAAAATCATTCATGAGTTTGTATTTCTAGGGATTAATCTACTTACAAAAATCAAAGCCTAGGTTGATGTGGGCTNTCATTGGCAAACGGTTTATTGGTGGAGTGGCACATCGCAACGTTCTGAAAAGGATCTCAAGTAAACAAAAAGACTACTCCACGTTGTCCATCTTTTCCTTTATAAGCCATGAATCTCATTAACTTCTAAATTCGGTGCAGCATTGTAAGTGTAATTTCCAATGAAATCATTCATAAGAGCTTGTATTTCTAGGAATTAATCTACTTACAAAAATCAAAGCCTAGGTTGATGTGGGCTGAATTAGATCTCATGGATTCTAGGAATAGAGGGGAATATTCCTAACAATCACACCAAATTCTTTACATCGATGTGAGCTTGTAGCTAATGAGGAATTTCGACAAGTAATTTCATTGGAAAGGAGCTTTAAAGTTAAGCCTCACCCATCATGTGGATCCTGCTTAGCTGGCTCACTGTTCACAACTTTCCCATCAGAAAACCGAAAAGAACACTGTAATCGTCCTTTGGTGTCACCCATGTTCTCCAGACTTACCTGGAAAAAATCTCTGTTCACTTCTCTGAAGACCTAAACATTAGCTGACCCTAGCGAAACTCACATTGAGGAAGTCGGCCGTAGTAATCTGGATCTTATCCGGTACCACTCCACGGATGCTAAAATGAAGTCAACTTGAATTAACTTTTCCTTGTCGAGCAGGATTTGGCTTAGAGTTTTTCCGACGGGAACTGTAGGATTCCACAAATCCCCTCAGAAAAACATAACTCTGTAAGCCATCTGAACTATCCGGATCAGCTCACTTTGGACAGCGATTGTTTTGGAAATCCAGCCAGCCGCTGCTCGTCTTCGGCAAAACTCGCTCGCAAGTGTCCTCTTCGGTACATATGCTGTTCTTCACACACCAACCACAAAACGGGTCCCGCTTTGCCAGGCATGAAACACACGTCGCCGCTCCTTCACCACAATTTGATGTCCGCATCTTGACCACCTGAAACGAGCTCAATTCAAATGATTAGACAGCAAACACAACGCTTCCAAAGACTGCCCATAATTAAATAATGAGGAAAACAGCTTAATCCTCAGTCCGGATCCAACGGTTGAATATGCCACGTCCTGGTCTTGAAGGAACTCGTTCAAGCTAGCCAAGAAATGATTATTTCTAGCCCGCTTTGACAAAGTCTTTTTCAAGGAGGCCTTGGTCTCAGCCGAATCCCAACTGTAGCCTGGTTGAAACCGAGCCCTCCATATCCTCCAAGCCCTTAACATGAAGCTTCGTATATGGCAGGATGAAATCGCTGGTCGGCTTGTACCTGTGCACCGCTACGAAAGTAGTACACGGATAAAATTACTGAAGCAGTCCTGAATAAGAATAAAATGTGTGGCGCATCCAAAACCCTGAAGAGATGCCATTCAGGTGCTCACCCTTTTGTTCATAAAAATTCGGAGAGTTTCAGACAGTTCGCATCTATCAAAGGGTCATCCATCGGTGAATGCCGTTTTTATTCAAGATGTATTTAAGATGCCATTAATGTAACCATGGATCAAACCCAATTTTGGCTTTAAACTGCTTTCAAACTGCCCTCAAAATCGTAACAAGTTCTAGATCCTAATTTCGGTCACTCAATGTTTTGCGATGTCCAATCGATGTCTCTTTTTATCTACCCAAATAAGCTTGATACCGATTTTCGTGTATCAAGCTTCGTCATTCAACGTCGACGTCTCGTAAATTATTTGGGAAGATAAAAGGATATTTGGGAAGAAGGAAAACTCGGTTGATTGGAGCAAGATCCAAGTAGGAAGGGATTATTTTGACATTCAACGTCGACGTCTCGTCAATTATTGGAGCTCTATCTTGCCCTTTGCTGTATAGCACTAAAAACAACCTCCCATTGACTATGAGAAGTAGTTATACTAGAAGGCTTGGTGGAGGGATACAATCCAGGACATCAAATTAGAGAATTTCACCTTACGCTCTGTACCGCATAAATCCCCCTTCTTTCGCCGGAGCTCTGGAGCACTCCACTACACTACCACTACGTTCTTCAATATGTTCTTCTAGCACCACTCAATCGCGTTTCAACTAATAAACTCGAGAAAAGCTCTTTAGCGCTCCAGAAGGACAACGACCCTCGTAATGCATTCGGTCGTCTATTGTTCGTTCATCGCCACGCGAACACCCATTGCTTCTAGTGCTTGATTTGGGAATAGCATTTCCCGTTCGTCGCTAAAATGGTGCTCGCGGGTGGCTTTCGCACTTCCGGCACCATGCCACGACAACGATGATAGCACTTCGAAAATCTCCACGCACTTTGTTGCATGAAGGACCACGGAGCTACCAAATACATGGACTGGCCTTCATCAGTGTACCGAGCAATCAACTGTAACGCCCAGACATGCAATCGCAATGTACTAATATGATAACAGTTCCGTGAGTAAAGCCAAGAGGTCGGCCTTGCAGGAGGATAAGCATTCTACGTAATATATGCAAAATTCCCTGAGAAACTGAAGCTAATCACCTTTCTGGACGTTCAATATGGTANGACAGCAGCAGACAAGAGCTCTTAACCTTCCTCAAGCGCTCACGAGTAGCCATCAACTTATTCTAGGGCACCCGTCGAGGCCGAGCAAATACCTTTGTGACTTCGTTACTGGGAGAGTAATCTGTAGCTGAATATCCATCATGATCTGAGCTATCTAACCTGCAGCCACTACAACCTCTTTCTAGACTATCACTTCCGCAACCAGAATTCAGCAAAAAATCATCAACTTGTAGAGTCATTTTGACTCATAAAATGTTCGCAAGTTCCAAGAGGGATTGTACCGACCAGGAAGACAGGAAGTTTCAATAAACCCTCGAACGAAACTTGCTATAATCCCAGTACAAACCCTGCACCACCCTTATCGCCGATGGATTCTTGTTCATTCAGCCACAAATCTTGCTTGATACAGTTCTATAAGCCGGAATCCTATCCCACCGGTATGTCTTCAGACAAAGCCGCTGGGATAAACATCGTACGACAGCCGTCCGCGGCTAATGAGTACACACAGTCGACATTAAACGTCATCGAAACCGGCTAGTAAATCACTGGACAGCGGCCAAATCGGTCTCCAAATTCCTCGACTCTGTCAGAACCCTTCGAATGGTTCGTGACATATAAGGTCAGAAATAAAGCTTTCAAACAACTTTATTCTCAAAGAGCTACCTGTTAGACGAAAAGCTACCCAGAGATATTTCATGAAAACCAAGTTGGAATGATTACTGCCAATATAACCCGCGAAATCAATTTACTTGCCACATGGAACCAAGAACCAAGTCTGAAGAACTCGAAAAAAAAAATTTTCTCACCTTCCAGACCAATATTCCTACCACCTCAACCCATTTACGCATTGCCCTCTTTTCTTGCCAACTCTATGAGCTCAGGGGGAGTCTATAAAACTCCTTTTTCGATTTAGTCTATGGATCTCTTCGTGTTACAAACTTAACCACTAGCTGGACGTATGCTCCAACTTATTTTGGCCTTAATTCCTTAACGAAACCAGCTGATTTTCGGAAAAAGAAGCATTATATTTTGGCTTAATCTGAATTTCTTCAAAATACTCAATTTCCAAGCCGATCCCTCGAACTGGAATAGCTTTTCGTAGCGTTGTAGCTCATCAACAGCACGAATCGTTTAAAGATTCCGAGGAGTTAGTCTAATTAAGGCTCTAGGCGCGCTGTGCAGAAAGTGCACTCAAGTAGATATCCGATGTCTTTGAATTGCTAATTAGGAAAGCTCTACCACTGAAACACTTCTCTGGTCTAAATGGAATTCGATCCTCAACAACTGACTATATTATATCAACAAAGGCGTGCGCAATTCTCCTAATAATGGCTCTATCCGATAAATTTTATATACGACGGCCGAAATTCCGGTACAGCACAGGAGGAAGTCCAGCACAGGGCCGACAAACGCAAAAAGGCCTTGGTCATTCATGGTATCAGTTAATAGAATTCGAATGTGAGTTTGGTCCTCCTCTAAGGGCCACTTTCGACTAGATTTTCCCCGCGACCTTTCCGCATTATTAAAAGCTCATCATAAAAGTCGATCACTACGTCACTGTAGCACTTGATAGCCAGCCTTCCTAGAATCACAAATTAGGCCTGTACAACATGCTGAAGCTAGCGGAGCCTATTCCTACTTAGAGTTTTCGCCCTATCCTTCGCGGGAATATGGTTAAGATTCTTCTGGGAAGCCATGAGATACTCTTCATAAAGAGAATTAAAGTTTTGAACGATCTTCAGTATTTTAGCAGGAACTCACTTTGCTAGGCGTGAGCACGTAAGCGTATTGACCATTTTCGCTAAAGTCCAAGTCGGCTAAAATTGGTTCACGATTCGTAGAAATCTCTTCCGTGGCGTAGATTTCGGCCGACGTTGA